AAAGTCTAATCCCTTGAAATTTTTACTGGGATTATTGAGTTATATTTGAATTTTAATAATTATTTTAATTTCTGGAGTATTTAATAATTACAAAATATTTTAAATGTGAAAAATTAAATTTTATATTTTTATTAAATCTCTTTGAGGTCAAAGAACCCAGAGAAGCAAATTTCATTTTTTCTAATTTTTCTTGGAATTGTTAGAATTATTTTAGTGAAAATCCATTTTGAGCCTTTAAAAATTATTTTAAACTTTAAAATTCAACATCTTCACTTAGAAAAATAGGAAAAATATTCCAATTGTTCCTAAGTGCTTAGGAAATCATTTAGAACATTTCTATGAATTTTATTATTTTTGCGATTTTTATCATTTTTTAATTATTTAAATATTAAAAATAGCCTAAAAATGAAGTTTTTATTTTAATTACCATTTTATTTTTAAAAAATTTCTCTAATCACAGATAACTCTAAAAAACAATTTTTATAATTATTTGAGTTATATTTTAATTAATAAAAATCATTTTAGTGTTAAAAATACATTTATCTTGAAAAATCAATTTGAGTTATTAAATGAGCTCCAAATGTTTTGAAGTTTTTATGGGGAGTTCTTTGAACTTAAAATAATAGTGAAGATTAAAAATTAAGTCATTTAGATGTTTTTGTTTCCAAAAATTAGTTTTCTTTGTGTTTTAGGGTTGGTGGAAATTAAGTGCATTCTTAATGAATTAACCCATGAAATATTTTTCAAAGGGTTCTTTAGTCATAACAAACCTTCCAAAATTTTTTTAGAATTTACTAAGCAACATGCTAATTATTAAGATTAATTTATGCAAATAATAAACATAAAATTGGAAAATATGGATCTCTGTCTAGAGATATCCTCTAACTTTAAAAAAATCAGAGGATGTTCCATAAGATAGAGGCAACAACATGCCAAAATTTCATGTCATGATGAAATGTTTATATGCATGGAGAATTAAAAGACTCAAAACCATATTTAATTAATTAAAAATAAAATATGAATCAAACAAACTTTAAATTATTTCCACATTGTTCTTCTCTGTTCACTGAGCAAGAGAGAATTTTTATTTTATTTTTGTGATTTTTCTACACCAAGATATGAATTTTTGAAGTTAGGGCTATTTATTTAAATAAAAAAATACCCTATTTATCTATTTAAATGTGCGGCACCATGTCAACCTACGACGACTACGAAGCTCCATGCGGCGCACTCCCATTCGACGCCGCCATCCGCCTCAGTGTTGACTCGATCCGCGGTTCATGTATGAAGGCGTTGTCCAGTTAGATCTCGTCTGTTGATGAGATAAAAGCGCGATTAGACGGCTCCCCGTATCGTCCCCAATGTCTTAGCACGAGAACCATCCATTTTCAAAGCTTAAGAACTCACTCATTTCTTAACCAAATTAAGTGTGGTTTGTTTCTAAATGCTCGTCTAAGTGTGACGAACACATCCATATGGTAATCAAGCCATTAAATTAAGTCTAATCAAATGGAGAATCAAAATAGGCTCGAGAAGATGGGGAGTTCAATACCTTTGCTCTGAGAAGGGAAGCTTCAATCAAAGGTTCTTGGCACGTTTGTGGAGGTCCAATGAGGCTAAGGATTAAGCCTCTTGCTGTGGTGAAAGACCTAGGTATGAATTAGTTCAATCTCAATTTCAGGTGTTGGTCTAGAGCTATGCTAGGGGCTCTGTATGAGAGGGTTTTGATGGGGCTTATTCTTCTTTCAGTGTGGTGAAGGTAAAAAAGAGTGTTGCTCATATTTGTCACTAGCCTATTTTATGCTTTGCCCTTTACATTTCTTATTGTCCACTTACAACATTACAAGGGATTGTATTTTTAGAACTTGATATTCATCAATCCAAACCATGTTTACTAGGACTAGTTGTGTAGGATTTTAACTTTTTAATTTCTTTGAAAACTTTAGGATTACTTTGTAAAACTAATATACAATCCAAAATTTAAGCTAGGACTAAAACCTGTTGGCTAGAACTTTCTTAAGTCTAATTCCATCGCTCCTTGTGGGATCTTCATTCCGGACTGTAAATTCAATATTACTAATACAACACTTGCACTTGTGTGAGCCTCCAGTGTGTGGTTGCACCCAAAAGTGGTATCATCTTTGCCTTGATCTTACGGTTGGATGTTAGAGAAAAAAGAAGCGACTCTCAATTATTGGAAGGAGAGGGGAAGGAAAAATTTTTCTACTAGGGTCTTGTGGAGGAGGAGAGTTTCGGTATTCCTCAAGGAGAGTGTCTTAGTATTCAAAATTTGAAAATGGAGTTGATTGGTCTTGACTTGGGAAGATGGGGGGAAAAACCTTTTAGAAAGGATTTCAAATTCAATACTTTTTATTAATAGGGAGTAATTTTAGGCTAGTGATTAAGGAGGGAATTAATCAAAGTTTTGGGGGGAAGAACAAAAATAGAAGAGATGGAGAGGGCCCCAAATAGGGCAGGTGGGCTAATAGGAGAGGAGGAGGTTGATTGATGAGGTGGCAAAGTGAGAAAGGTTGGATGAAAAGGGGAATGGCGGGTGGATATCAAATAGAGTATGAAGGGTTATCTTTGAAATTTATTAATAATCTAGCCAAGGAATTAATTACAAGTATGAAAAAAATAAAAGTTCATGTCATTTCAAAGAGGACAAAGCAATCAATTAAATGGTTTAAATTATTTTGAAAAAGGAGGTCTTTAGTTGAAGTTATGACTGTTTGATATGACAAGGTTTTTTTGGCAGGTATGTTGGAAATGGGTCGGGATTTGGTTATAAGAAAATGTCAACATAGGATATTTTGGAAGAGGAAAGTATGAGAAATCTAGTGATGCAAGTGATTTTGATTGAAACAAGTTCCTTGAGGAAATTTCCTTTGTCAAAGTGGGCCCCAACCCTAGGGAGCTAAAACGGGCAAGTTTTGAGTTGGGGATTATAATGAACTTTATTGGACCAAAATGTGCATTGTTATATTTGAAACAACTTTGTGTTAAATTCAAACTTGATTTGAAGTTATATTGAGATATTTATTGCCAAATTATCCTTTTCTCTCTCTTAATTATAATTTTCTCTCTCCAAATTATGGTGGGCTCAACGAGTATCCAAGGAGAGTTAGATCTGGGCGCCGAAAGGCTCTTTTGAAAGATTTTGATGAGACAGATGGAATGATAGGGCCCGTTTTATAAAAAAATAATGCCTTGTTGAGAACTTTTTTATGGGCCCATTTTTTATGCATGGACCCTGAGTACAAAATTTTATGCAAAATAGTGTGAGGCGACCATTAAACTAGTTTGCATGCTCCTCATGTGTGATTATGAAGATAATGCAACTTACAAAGTATGATTTTAGTCATTGGATTATCTTATGAAGAAGAATGACAGTTTTAGGTTTTTTGCGGCATCACGCTTGCATGAAAATTTTGAAGTGAAGAAATTAAAATAAATGTTAGTTAAAACAATCGACAAACTTGCTTGCTTGGAAATACAAAAATAAACATCATGAGACTGTTAAAATGAAGCTTTAAGCCTAACAACATCCTTGGGAAGGAAAATGATAATTTTAGGGTTTTGACCATTTCAAAATTTAGCTCAGAATCTAGCTCAAGTGAAGCTCATTGAAGTGTAAATGGATAAAAAATGGTTGACCTAAAATTTATGTCAAGAAATACTTGGTATTTGGACATCGTAAACAACCATAAGTGTGGGAGAAATAACATGTTCGTGGAGCTTGACAAGACATTGAGTGGCAATATGTCTTTTGGAGATGAGTCCAAGGTGACGATGAAAGGCAAGGGTAATATCCTTATTAAATTAAAGAATGAAAAGTACAAAATTTATTATCAAAGTTTATTTTCTGCCAAATATGAAGAGTAATATCCTAAATCTAGGTTAGTTCTTAGAGAAGTGTTATGATATTAATTTGGAAGGTAAGAAGCTTTCTCCAAGTAATGATATAAGAAACCTAATTGCGAAGATATCAAGTCAAAGAATCAGAATATTCTTGCTCAATGTATAAAATGATAATGTCAGGTATCTCAAAGAATGTTATAAAAATTCATTTTGGATCTAGCCTGTTCAATTTGGTCGCCTTACTCTTTTAGGATTGGAGAAGTTATCAAATAAGAAAATTGTGAGATACATGCCCTGCATTAATCATCCCAAGAAGGTATTTGAATGCTACAATTCATAAAGAGTTCCAAAGGTCTCAAATTCGAGAGTACAAAAGCCACTTTAGCTCATACATGCAGATATGTCTTGCCCAAGCAAGTCAAGCTATCTTGATAAGAGTAATTATTTTATTCTCTTTATAGATGATTTTTTTGAAAAACTTGGGTATATTTTTTGAAGCAAAAATCAGAGCTCTTTGGTGTATTAAAGAAGTTCAAAGCTTTGGCGGAGAAAGAAATTGACCTCGAGTTCAAAATAATACAATATGATCGAGGAGGTGAGTTCACTTCAAATAAATTTCAAGAATACTACTGCAACTAGCTACCACTTCATATTTGAGATTTGTAATGCAATTTTGGATATTTTTATTTGCAAAACAGCCAATGAAGTGACAAACTCATGAAGATTTCACAATCTGAAATGAAGAAGAAAAATTGTTCTGGCTGAAGCAACTTTTGGAGAAACATTTTATAGGCTTTTATTGTGACGGAGTTGAAATGCATCTCCAAAAAAAAATCCTTTATTTGGAATTTTAGTGAGAACAATTATTAGATTCACATGAGAACCTCACAAAAGAATCTCCTAAAATTTATTGTTTTATTTTGACCTTTAATCATCCAACAAGAGCAAAAATGAGTAGATTCGAGTATCAATGTAGCATGAAAAATTGTAATTTTTCTTTGATTAAAAAATTAGTTTCAAGGTAAACTTTTTTAGTGATGAGAAGTGAATAAAAAATTGTTGCTCAAATTTATGATTTTGACAAAAAAAATTTAATTCTTCATCAACCAGCTGACCATAAATTATTTACATTCCCGGCAATTCTAGATATTATTTCGAGCTTCTCTAAATATTTGAATTTGATGAAAATTTAATCCCTACAAAAGCAAAAAAAGAATTCTACTAATCTCAATTGAACAGTGAATGATGGGGTAATCCAAAGAGCAATCAATTAAGAATGACATTGTCTGTGAAAAAGTGATTAAACAAGAAGCTAATGTCCTATCCCTTTTCCGGTGGGAGCTGGAAACCATTAGACCATCTCAACATCCCGCCTTCTCTTCCCATCCTCATTTTCCAACTCTACGGCCGGGGTGCTCCGGTAATAGCACGCGTACAGCAGAAGCTGGAGTAATCCGAGCGCCGATCCGAGCCCATTTGGTATCTGTCACAAAGCTCATAACATCAACCTTCACCAATTTTGGGCAGAATAAAGAAATGATCGAATAAATAAGAAGAGTATGACTGTCTCGAGGGAAATGCGTTACCGTAATGAAGATGTCAAACTTTAAAATTGCGTAGGAGGTCCAGCACAGGCCATTGAAAAAGCTCACCAAAGAAAGCCAGAAGGGCATGTACTGCACGCTTTTGGTCTTGATCACCGTTTTCTGTAAATGGGTAACCGTCAGTGGTTTAGATAAGCACGCAAATCATTATCAAGCACTAAACGTAATAATCCAACTTTGCTGAATTATAAACTATTTTAAATTTATAAAGCTAATAATAATGATTTTCATTCTCTGCATTCGTATATAACTATATAATTTATTTTTATTATTTCAGTCTCTTTTGTCATTTTTCAACAAATTGAAGGGATGATGAATCCTTCTGGTATGGACAGTGTCCCGGCACAACTCCATAAATTGGATTGGATGAGGCCCCAGAATATTATTAAAACAAAGAATTATTATGAAAAAAATCGCAGAGGAATCCAAGCAGAATGAGAAATTCTAGATAGAGAAAATGAGAACGTACCATAATGGTGAGTGGGGAGGCGTACATGCAAGTGCCAAATATGACACAGAGGATGCCGACCATCAGCGACCTCTTCTCGTGACTATAACCCACCGTGAGCACAACTGAGACAACCACAGCCATGAATGCCAGCTCCCCGGCCAGAATATTCAACAACTTGATCTGCAAACACGCATCCACAATCCAAAAACCGTCAATCAAAACCCTCTTTGCTTAATCACAAATCTACGTTTAAATTCAAGAAAAATAGTTCGATTCAACTCACCCTCAGGTTTTTAGGGGCGTAGAGGAAAAATATAGTAAGGTAAATTCCTTCAAGCACAATACCAACGCAATTAATGGTAACTACGAGAAGTGAATTGGGGTGGACGATGGGCAAGCCGTAAAAGATCCAGAGCATACAATTGAGCAGGGTTGCAAGATACGGAATTGAAGAGAATTCCTCCACCGCCTTCATCCTCCATATCTTAATGAAAGTCGGTAAAGGTGACAGGAACAGCCCGAAAGATATCACATTCCCTGTTCCAATGCAATTTATTTCCCAAGAAGAAAAAAAGTTTTAATAAGCGGAGTGAGCCAAAGCATGAAAGATAAACGTAAGTGAAATAAATCTATGGTAAACAGTTGAGGCAGTGATACCGATGATTCCGACCACGTTCCGAACAGCGTCGGTGCTCACCATCTTTGATGAAATCTTGAGAAAGAAGCAGCAGAGAACGAAGAAAGAGGAGGTTATGAAACTTGCAATTGGAAGGTGGATGGAGGCGGGGTTCTATAAAGGCGACGGTGGAATAGGGATAACGATAGGATTTTGACCGGAATAGTAATAAAACCCAGGGCATTTTATCTAGTCTGCCTGAAAATGCTCCCCTCCGTACCTCTCTCTCTCTCTCTTGCGCCCTCGCTGGCGCTGGACACTCTCTCGCCCTGTCCCGCACGTTGGCGGTTCTGTAGCATGAAATGGTGGGCGCCAGCGGTTATATCAAAGAAAGCGGTTGTAATGCTTCTCGATTGCGATTCTATACATTCTAATAACGATAATACTTGGTTTGCCGATAAGAATTGTTCGGCTTTTTTTTTTAAGCGTTTGGAAATAGTGGCTTTTAGTATGCTCAGCGTAAGTCCCTAAAAGCGCCATACCTTGGTGCAAATTCCGTAGGTGTGATTAAGGGTCTGTTTCGGGCAGTTGTAGCTTATCCATCTTATCCTGATAATCTGTTCATTAGCAGCTTATCCTGATAAGTTGACTAGCTGTTTGGTTTGTGCGTTTCAAAAATAGCTAATTCTGAATAAATGACCATTCTGCCCATGTTCTGGATAAACTGTTCAGCAAGGTTATGAAAAACATCAATTTCAACAGCACTACCTATGAAAGGCACCAAAGTGTGTAGGAAAAGATGAAGAAAAAAACTAGGTAATGAAACAAGTACTTTGAAATTACTTTCCAACAGGATCACCACCGTCATTATGCAAAGCTGAAAAAGAACTCTTGAATCATCCAATTAATTTCAAAGCAAGATGACATCCACACAAAGATCTGTGATGGGCAAGAGAAATAGCAAGAAGAAGACACATACATATCAATTTTATGTGTTAAATGCAAATGCAAACTCCAAACAATTTGGTGTGATTGGCACCGTCATGGAGCTTCCAAGCCTTACATCATCTTCTTCCATTACAAGGTCCTCTATCGAGTAATAGAAAGAAAAGGAAAGCATAACAACTTCCAAGCCTTACAGCACCTTTATACCGAGCTCCCTCAGGATCACCACCGTCGATGGTCTCATCGGTGAAGCCATTGCAGCGAAGCAACGAAGCTGAAAGGGCTTTGAGCCCATCTGCAACGAAGAACGAGACAATAGGTTGACGAAGCACCTGGCTCTGGTGGAGCCCAAAGGAGCTTTCCGGTGGCTCTTGGAACGTGAGAGAAAGGCGAAGGAAGTTCTGCTCGTCAGTTGCGTTCGGAGGAAGTTTGCTTAGGGCAGAGCGTGAGCGAGGCCAAGAACTGTTTTTCACTCGAACGAAACGCAAATCACGGGGTACTACCCGCGATCTGCGTCTAATAGAAAATAGGGAACTCTGTTTTCCAAAACGCCTGTAAAACTCAGCATCCAAACAGCCAGTGGCGTTTTCAAAAAGTAATTTACTTTCTAAGATTCATAAATTATGAAAATTCTTATTACATCTATATATATATATAT